TATGCCTGACTGGACTGCGATTTCGAACTCCCCGCCCCGACTATTCTGCGGACCTGAGTTTCGACTGCATTTCAAACCCATGCCCTGACTGGACGGCAGAAATGATGTTTCAAACGCATTTTCAAACTCTAACCGTGACTGCACCGTAGTTTTCTCAAAAAAGTAACCAGTACCTTGCGCGGCTATAAAAAAAAGTAGCGTCCTTTGGGACATCCATTAAAATTGGAACTATACAGTGAAGATTAGCATGGCCCCTGCGCAAGGATGACACCCATTAATCGAGAAATGGTCCAAATTAACCAAAAAAAAAAAAAAAAAAAAATTGCAGCCATTAAGTCGCCGCTACTTTAGGGGGTAGGGGAGTTGAAGGACCGGTAGGAGCTGTTTTCTTTAGAAAAAAAAAAATTCCTGAGGGCATACTCAGGGCATACTCGTACTGGGGTCTATAATCCCAAATTCCCCCCCAAAAAGGTAGAGGACCGGTCACATAGACTTGCAAACGTCCTAAATGTACGTGTGCGAGGGCGACCGTAGTTTTCGCCTGCGCTAGCAGGACTTAACCGAGCTAGGGTAACTTGGCAAACCCTAATTCGCACCGAGCACCGTGAAAAAGGGAAGCACTCAGCTGTTTTTCCCGCAATTCCTCATTCCCTCGTAGGGTTGGATATGGTGCGCTGCCTGCCAGGGCTAAGTCCCCCTGATATATGACAGTATATTATAGGACAAGGTGATTTTTTCACCCCGTCCTTGACTCTTGCTCCATCTGGCCTCCATTCCAACTTTATACCCTAACTTAGTACTCTACTCTTCATGTGCCTTCACCATTGTCCTTTCTAATAGTTGTAATCTCTCCTCTTACTACTTTGGACTCACTTTCGTGAGCAACCCGTTCCCGGCGCTGTGGCGAACTATTTTCTGCAGCCGCGGGATTTTCTGCCCAAGACTACTTCGGGGGTTGAATCGGGATGGCCTGGGAAATTGCATGGGTGTCCTTGCTTTGTTTGTTTCTCCTTTGGAATTGAGGCCAGGGCCTACGTTGCATAGAGTACACGTACGGGGGCTTCCCGTATGAAACGTACAGGTTATTTCTGTACGAGATCTGTACGGGAACCTGTACGGGAACCTGTACGTCTCGTAAGCCCCTGTA